GCACCGAGAGAGAGAGAGAGAGAGAGAGAGAGAGAGAGAGAGAACAAACAAAATATGTTGTTTCATGCAGGTCGGTGTTTCTATCAAATCATTTCATGATTAGCTAAAGAAATATATATATATATATAATTTTACATAGTTTCATGCTTCTTATTCGATGAGAAGACACCGACGATGAGTGCACTGTTGATCAGAATGAGAAGGAGAGAGAGACCAAGGATGCAGTCGAAGAGTCCAGTGAGGATGAGAGCAGCTCACAGACTGACCAGGTCGTGATGGTCATGAGATTTAACCTTGTCTTCATGTACCAGACAGGTGAGCTGAATATCTACTTGTTATTTGCTTTTTTAAAACAAATTCGTGTATCATTTCTACATTATTTTCATTATAAATTCTCAAAAGATATCAGTTAGACGTTTCTTCAATAGCTCACCTATGAATATATTGATTATATCACTCACACCCCCCCCCCTCGACATAATTTATCTCTCTCTCTCTCTCTCTTTCTCTATCTCTCTCTCTCTCTCTTTCTCTATCTCTCTCTCTCTCTCTCTGGCTCTCCCCTCTATAATTCTCTTTCAGTTGTTTTATTGTTTAAATGAACAAACTTATCTTTTATCATTCCAAAGTTGAGTTTTTAATTTGAAATATAATCTTTTGCAATTTCTCATCTTGGCTTTAGATGTCTACAATGGTTTTAAAATTTAAATAATCGCTAAACTCCTAATGTAATTTGAACTACCCATTTTTCTAAAACCCACCTTTGAACTTTTAGGTTTTCTGTTTATATATTTTATATTTGATTTTTAATTTATGTCAAACTATGTTCATTGTAATTAGATATGTATATTTTTGTAATTGTGCATGTTTTTATCTGTGAATTGTATCGCAATTCAGCCTTTTACGGCTGCGAAAATATGTTTTAATAAACCTTGAACTGAATTGAATTGAGTTGACAAATCAAACATCAATACAAATCACGAAATCTTTAAACAAGTTTATTTTTCTTCTCCTTGTTCTCTCAACAGGACTTTCCTTGGACAGTGACAATGACCATGAAAAATGTGGAGACCAGCGCACAGGACCGGGGGTGGGCCAAGGCTGATTGCGATGAACATCATAAATGACATGCAAAATGTACTACATGAAACAAACAAAGCGGCCTAATATCGATAAGCATTATTCTGTGTATTTCTTTCGAATTTATCTAAGTTACTGAAACTTACCCTACATTTTGCTGCTAAAGGTGAATCGCCGCCATTCAGCATTCAACGCAAGCTTTATAAAACTACATGAGTGATGTTGAAAATATAGTAAGTTAACCGTTCTCGCCTATTTTATTACAAACAGTGAACTAGCAGCATCAGTGAGCCACAATCGCTACCCGCCCCTTGCCCAGTTAGTTGTAGGCTAGTACATCACAGGGGTTTTGCCGCCTAATCGCGATGTGAAATAGGAGAAATGAGAGACAATGCTTCTATGAAATTGGAATGTATTTCAAATATATTGGTTGGTAATGTGGTGATGAGCATCATACTGATCATGAAGCTGATCTGTTGCAATGGCGGAATAAAGATGAGGAAAACCATTTTCATGGTGAGCCTTTTTAGACGCTTTCTGTTTTAAACCTTATCAAAAGAATCAACGAAAAATAAAAAAAATAAAAGAACAAGAGATTGGGTGTGCTAATCTACAATGACAAGCTTATTTTCACCTTTACCTATATTGTTAAGATGCGTTTAAGAGTATCAACCTTCAGTAACTAACTTAAGCAATACTTTACAGCTTTAATTATTTTAATGAAAATAAACGATTTAATCAGGCGTAAATATGTTAAGTTATCATTATGTCTTCTTTCTTAATTCCTTTACAGATAACGGAAGAAATATGAACAAGGCCTACAATACACATCAGCTTCATGCATATGTCTTAACGGCGTGCTTCTCATCAACTACCCAATTGCAATGATTACAACCAACGGTTACTATACCGTGCAATGATAGATTTAACCAAAAGATATTTATCATGAATTTTGGTACACAGGTGGCAAGAAAGTTGGCCAAAGATGACTTTTTTGGGGGGGGGGCACATAAGAACCATCCCCAATTTCGGTGGCTGGGATGTCGGATAGCCCCTACAAATTTGGGTCTCTTTTTTCTCCATTAAGCCCCATGGACAACATTTTGTCGAAAGGAACAGTAATTGCTGTACATTACAAAATATGATATGGGTATTCATGGTGGGAAAGAGAAGCCAATTTCTATAGTATCTCACTTTTATGTAGCATGTAGGTTTTGGAGTAATGATTAACAGATTTTCGTTGTATGATTATGCATTTTTCTGCTGAAATCTCCAACACAAACTGAACTTTTTCGTTCTGAATTTCGTATCTAAGTTTTTCATAGAAGAGTACAAGGATTACTCACACTATATGCAATTAGTCATCATGATAGCTAACATAACGGGATTCATGACCAAAACTCAAACAGAATGCTTGCTCTTTTCATCGGTCCCCCATCCTCGGTCCATTCAATTCTGGATTAAACAAACTTAGTCTTGTTTAGTCTTGAGCGATGACCATACTAATGCCTGTTGGAACTTGAGTGGCTCTTTTCTTTTACTATTAAGCAACCCATAAAGATACACATAGCAAAATACACACTGAAATATTTTATGTGAGGCACTTTTATAAACCGATTGCCAATACATCATGAGAAATGGTTACAAGACGTATAGAAAATTAATCATAGTTACATGCTCGCAGTCTGTAAGATGAAAATACAATTTGTCCTTGAAAACTTGAAATTCTTTATCATCAAGTTGACTTGATGATTTTATATAGACCTATTAACATGTATGAGAAAAATCATGATTTTTCTAAAAATTACATTCGCATTACAAATATTTCGTCCGCATATCAACTTCTGTTTTCTACATTTTGAGAAAGAGCAAAGCTAGTGAGCAAAAATTAATACACTTTAGTATGTAATTTCCTTATCCAAACACACTTTAAAAAATATACAAATTTGAAAAATGATCACCTCGCTGCCTGTTTACGAAGTGACGGATACCCGAATGTCGGTAATGTAACGTTCTCAGTGGCTGCAGCTCCCTTGTCCACTTTCCTTGTTGATATCTTGCTTTTTGTTAAGCCTTGTAGTAGTTCTCGATAATCGAATTATCAACTTTTCATATAGATATTCTCCATAATTTTTGACGGAGTTACAATATAAAGAATAATAAAAGCTAATCTATACTTGTTCAAAAACAGGTGTCATGATCAAGGTGAGTTTTTTATTTAGATTTTAACTGTGCACATGCACTGTTAACTATGCTATCAAGGGCTGGCTGGTCACCAACAAAAGGGCTAGATGCATTAAGATTGCGTGCATTACCAATAGGAGGTGCTCTGAGATGGCGCCGTTTGACTATACATCTTCGTGTCATTGAAGTTATGAGAGTTTGACCAATCCGGTTCGAGTTGTGGCACCGTGGACTCTGCGTTGTAGCCCATGCAAGCACAAAGCAAACGAATAATATATGCCATGTACATGTAGTGACCAACTGAAAGCAAGTTGGCCAAACTCTGTGTATGGATGGCTATCTCTCGCTAGTTTCCCCGGCTTCTCTCCCCCCCCCCCCTCTCTCTCTCTCTGTATAATATCCTCGCTAAGATTTCATTAAAAATCCTATATATACGTAACATAGATCCTAGAGTGAGGTGAATTTGTGTAAATGAACTCCCTCCAAAAGGCTGATCTCTTTTCCCTACTAATATTTAAAGGGCTGTTATCCAGCTATAGCTAGCTATATCATATTTCCGCTGTCATTTTAAGTGTTAATTAACTGAGGAGTATCACCACACTGCAGGATGTTATATTTTAAGAGAACTTTGCAATTTTGGGGGATTGTGTACTTGAGGTAGGTCAATTTGTCTTATAAGGGGGCACAAGCCGGTTGCAATGTCTCTCCCCCCCCCCCCCCCCCCCCACCACCACCACCACCCCTATGTACTTTGTGGCAGGATCTCGGGGGGGGGGGGAGGCATCTAGCTAGCTCGCGCTCGCGATAGCTATTTTCGATTACCAAAACGACTGTTGCTAGGTCTAGGATAGACCGAAAGCTTCAGTCTCTATACCGTCGGTTGTTCCACTGAGACTACGTCTGGCTCCACTTACCTCCGGTTATAGAGACTGAACGATCGCCTATGCCAGCCTATGTTGAAGATACAGTCTACGGGACGATACTGCCCTGACGCTAAGTTAAATCCTTTTTTTGGTATTATCGCATGCACTTACATATACGATTGCCATTTATAATGAAACCACACATGATAAACATTAAGAAAATATGTACCTTGGACCTCTGCATATGAAATCTTCTTCAAAAAAGTGTTATTATCTCTTCCACTTGACTGTCTTCAGACGTCAGCCATCTTGAATCAAAGTAATGAATATTCATGACAAAGTTTTTTAGTCTCCACCCCATTGACCTCATTCATAGACGTGCGCGTACGTGCACGTACATCTCGCATTGGAAATGCATGGTGGATACTGGGTGTGTACCGTATGGGGCGCCAAGTGTTACCCTAGTTTTTCGGTATAAAATCACCTCATTTTGTTACAAAATTTGTACCGAGTTAATTTTGCTACAAAATGATTTGTACCGAATTCATTTTGTTACAAAAGTTTTTAACAAAATAAAATGTTGTTACAAAATAAGTTTTTTTTGTTCATTTTGTAATAAAATAAATTTGGTACAAATCATTTTGTAACAAAATTAATTCGGTACAAATTTTGTAACAAAATGAGGTGATTTTATACCGAAAAACTAGGGTAACACTTGGCGCCCCACAGTACCGTGTGGTAACGGGTGCAGGTGGTGGTCAAATCAGGGAGATGAGAGTTTAAACTCTCTGGTCGACCTTTTCCTAATTAAGCGAACGTTAAGTACACAACCGTTAGGGTTTAATTTCAACAATCATGGCTGATCATTGGTGTTGTAATTGTGGTTGTGATTTGGTTTATGATTCAGAGAGACGTACTTTAAATGCTAAAATCAAAAATAAGAAATTTTCATCAGCAGATGCCCTTAAATCACTAGGAATAGAAATGACCCCTGGTAAAGAAAAAGTAAATCTAATATGTCCCACGTGCTCCAACTTGATCGGCAAACTATCCGAGTCCGATGCAAATTTAAAGGAATCAAAAAAAAACCTCAAAAAGATCACCAAAACACACACGTACGTGGGATTGAAAATTAAAAGAGAAGAACGTTCACCACACTCGGCCTCTAAAATGAAAAGGAGAAAAACCAGCAACACGCCTGTCAAAGAGGAGACAATACACAAGACGGCCCAAACACAGACTGGAACTTGTCACTCGGGACAGTCGAGGAAACGGGTAAGTTTGTACTTTACAGGGGCGGCGATCCCGGGGAGACGGGGGGGGGGGGGGGTACACGTCTCCCCCCTCAATTTTTTATGGAAAATTTGAAAAAGTGCAAAAAAAATGTATAGCAAATACTGACTGAAGACTGCAACACATTTTTAGGCTCTGGAGGGCTACGCTCCCTCGCATAATATCCTTCAAAATGTACAAGAAGATATTGTAGAAAAGTGAAGTGTGAACAAAATATATTGCTTGTTTTTATACAATAGTTTTTTTTAATACAACAAAACTTCAAAAACTGTGAGGGGTAGTCACTTCCGTCACCTTCATCCCTATCGTTCACTGTGCTCCCTCGCGCTGGCGTACTGATGCGGGACTTGGGGGCAGTTACCCCCCACCCCCCCCCCCCCCCCCCAATAAAATGTAAGAATGGGTGGTGATGCGGATTTTTTTTTCTGCCCCCCCCCCCTAGACGTTGTTGGTCATTACGCCAATGCTCCCTCGTCCCTCGCATTTCGCCCCCCCCCCCCCCGTCATGAAAAGAAATCGCCGCCCATGGTATTTCTCTATGTTTGTTTGTTTGTTTGTTTTATTTTATTTTTTCACATTTAACTGACATGCTGGGGAAAATTACATACATTCCTAGTTGTTCATTTCACAATCGATGGTATCGGCTTGATAAAGACATTCTCATAACCTAGGCGTGCGTACCCATATCTTTTAGAATAAATCAAATCACCTCCTTTGTGGCGCGGTTGATTAGAAGTTGGACTGCGAACCACGAGAGTTTCAATTTCTACAGATTTCAGATATAGAATTTTACGAAGGAAGGACCGAGGCCCGAGATTCTGGAAATTGTCTGACAAGGCCCCCCCCCCCCCCCACCCGTAAAAAAATAAAATAAAAAAGAAGGGGGAGAGCATCAGCATTTGGGGTGTTATATAATTTTTGCTGACTAGGAAAAAATATTTACACTTTTATTTCTGAGGAGTCCGCAGAAATAAAAGTGTAGTACCTTTGGTGAAGAAAGGAAGAAAAAAAAAACTACATGGACCTATAAGGCCGACGAAATTTGTATAAAAAGGTTAAAACAAGATTTTGTTTTATTTATTAAACATCTTAAACACTGGTCAGGTGGCAGGGGCGGCACTACAAAGGGGCAGGGGCGACCGCCTCCTTTGTGATTCTTTAAGTGATTAAAAAAAAAGAGGAGACCAAAAGTGGAGAAAGAAAAAAGAAAAGTATAGGGAAAAGAAGGCTGGGTCATGTAACCATTTTTGTCTTCTTCATTTACAATACAAATAAACTAACATATGGGTCATCTTGCCCCTCTATCAAAATGTCCTGGCACCGCCCTGCAAAGTATGCCCTGTACGCCCCTAACATATTTGTTGTAAATCATACCCATACCCCCACCACAGCCACACACAGACACACACCAACAAATGAAGTCTGTTTCCTGTTTACCTACAGTATACCTTTGAAGTTTGCAATTAATATGATTTAGGTAGGCCCTACACTCCTTTGTGTGCGTGTGTGTTTGTGGGAAGGGGGCGGCAATTATATGATATTCCTTTTACATTTGCAATTAAAATCGATAATGAAAAGTTTCAACTTATGTAATTATATGTAAAACAATATCTGCAAAAACAATAATATTGTGCAACTTTTTATCATTATCCTTGCAGAAAAATTCCTTCCTTTCCCAGGCTGCAGGGCATCTCGAAGGTGGGCGTTATAAGAGGTCGCTGGAGAGCATGAAATCATCCAAGACTTACAACGACTTTATCATTGGATCAGTATGCAAGCAAATTCAAAAAGAGATGAAATCAAGTGGTCCCATATTCAACATTGATTCCCGCAATAAGACTAAGTCATTTGAAAGTTATTCCTGGAAAACCGCAAACAAAAGTTTAAAGAATAAATGTCCAACCCTCATGACCATTCTGGGAAGCACGGTGGAAAGAAAACTCAGCAAGAAGGATGATGTTCGGCTCACAATGATAGCAGCTCAATTGTTCTTCGTAAGATGTCCAGCAAAACACAAAGTCCTCCAAGAATTGATTGGACTCCTCCTGTGGTTTGCCGGCACCAACAGAAAGGTTACTGA